TTAACAGCAACCCAGTAGTTTGAGGCATAGTGCTTTGGTTGTAGCTGTGGAAGCTTGAACACTGATCCTGTAGGCATCAGGATTGAAGGCTACGGTGCAACAGGCTGCCATGAAATCTGATGACCTAGTCTTCGCGGCGGCCTATCTGCAGAGAATAGGTTTTGGGGGAAGCTATAGTCCCCCTTAAGTAGATGGAATATGGGGTATATGGGGATCTTATTATAATATACCCGAAGCCATATTCTATCTACTTGAGGGGGAATCTATATACTGTAGAAGTAAAGGGGCTAAATTTGTGGATATTCCTTAGCGTACTACTTCATTCAACTCTTGGGTTGATAAACTGGAGGCGAACAGGCTCTGGGCAGTTAGGGAAACCTTCCCAGCCACGATTGGAGCACGGAAGCTTGATCTGCAGAGTTCCTCAAGATCCTACAAGTTTCGATGGAACTTCCTCAACCTAGGATTCCGAATGCTGGAAGTAAGCCTTCACCCTAAACCAAAACCCTAAACCCTAAACGCGTGGTTCAAACTGAGTTTCCATCTAAAGCTCTAGCACTGCTTTCTCGCAGACAAATGCCTTCTGGTGCAGCAAAAAAAGGTGACACATGACCTCAAACCCTAGATTCTAACCTGTAAGAGCTGCCTATCTTCAAGCTCAAGGCTGATGTGTTCAGGATTTTCGGGGTTATTCATTGGGATTTGTGTGGAGAGTCCCCACCAAACATGACATTTGGGGATGTGCATTCTTGGACGGATCCTTTTTTTGGAAATACCCGCCCAGGGCTTAGGGGTAGCCTACTGTCATGGCAGTTTGAAGTCCAGGGGCCGGCTGGTCAGGCACGGGTAACGACTCCGGCCACCACTGACCCACCTGGCGAAACATGTAAGAGCCGAAGCAAACAGAGAAGGGTTGTGAGGCATGCCGAAACTAAGAGTACGCGGGCTAATTGCGAAGGAGCATCAATTCCACACACCCTTCTATAAGCTCTGTGGCTTACAGCTGTGCTGTGGGCTTAGCGACTACATCAATGCATGCTCCCAGAGTTGCCGCCGTTCCTTGAAGCGCTGCTGGAATTGAAGCAAGAGTTCAAGCAAAGGAAATGAGGCAGAGCTTACTATTTGAAAGCGGATCTTTGGAGCTTGGATAGGAATGTGCCTGAATTTGCAAACGTGACCCAATCGGAAGCAGCGCTATCATGGACTGGTTTCAGATGTGTCCAAGCGATGGACACACACCCTCCAAACTTCAAACACCCTAGAGCTACATAGAGCTAGCTTAGTTCTGATTTCAACAACTTCGACCCTAATTTGGTCCCCTCACCCTCTAAGCCCAAATTGACCGATCCGAAGGGAGACCCAGCCTCATCTTCATTCCGGCGGAGGCGAATCTGCAACTCGCTTTGAAAACGACAGCAAGCCTGTTCGGCGCGTCGTTTAGGAGCTAGTCTCAGAATTACCAGCCCTTGTGGGCTTTCTGGTAGTCGATGGTCATGTTTGGAAGCTAGCCAGGTACGTAGTATTCAAAAGCACGCTCTCTTTCTTGGGGTCCATATACTGTATGTTTGGCAGACTGGAACTTTGAAGTCACTAGCCATTCAGCTGCAAAAGCTCTAGCCCACTTTCTTAGATCCGCAACGACAGCTGTGTGTCCTTATAAGCCTTGAATGCTCAACAAGCCAACCCCCTGCAACATCACCAAAGGACAGTCCCTACAAAACACCAAGAAGCGCTTGAATACTGCGCCCAAAGAAACCTAGACAATAAACCCTAAAGCCTATATACCCATATCATATATATATATTATATATATACGTACACATATCTATGCCCCTAATCCTGTCCCCAAAGCCCTCAGCGCTGCCTTCAACTGTTCGGGAGTGCCCCGGAATCCGTTGACTTCTACTATGCAATGCCCAGGGTGGACCTGGAACCGCAGGAAGAAGGGCTCTAGGATTTAGGTTCTAACTTTGAAGGTGTTGGGCGTAGTGTGGATTGCTACAGTGGGTTCCCACCTTTAAGTCTTGGCTTTATGCTTTCTGGGTTCGACGAGAGGTTTCACATGCATGGAATCGGCGCAGGTGACTTCATTGGTTAGTCAAGCCGAGGGCAATCTGCAACATTCCGTCCACGACCCTGAACTCGACATGGGCGTTCACATCCTGTCAGGTGCCTGGGCTAGCAATATTGCTCCCTTAGTTACGGACTTCTGGGCGCAGGGTTCCCCAAGTCCTCCTGCAATGGTACAGGACTGCGTCAACAGTTTTCTGAATGCCCTGACGGCAGCTCATATTACATCTAGTGGCCAGCTTTGCGCATATGACTTGCAACCATGAAAAAGCTCCGAGGTTCTAATGGGATGAGCCAACTGCCACACAGCGTACAGTCGCAAAGGTCAGGAACATGTCAAGCTGAAGCTCGAAGACCAACTTACGTGAACAGATCAACGCTTTGATCTCCACTTCCACCTAAACAAGCCCCAAGCCTTCAATCCACTCAAGCCCGCATGTTCCTATCTGTGCTCATTTTGCAAGACCTGTTTTTGGAACAAAAACACCTCCTGAATGTGCTGAAGCCCGTACTATACACAATCAGAAGCTGTTTCCCCAAAATCAAACATCATTGCTGCACCTCTTTGTCTGGATTGAGAAGATTCCTGAGATGCTGGTTTACAGAACATCATATGCAGCTCTTACAACAGAGGAGGTTTGGGAATATCAGCGTCAAGTCAGGAAAGTGCAGAAGATTTGTGAGTGGGCTTGGATTTGGGGGCTAGAGTTTAGATGCGGTTGATGGTACGTAGAGGCAATATAGGGATTGGATCAAAGCTATATGGGTGATGCAAAGGGCCCCTCAAAAATAGTATTCTAAGGGCAAGATGGCTTGTCTGGCATGTCATAAAATCGCACAGGGTTGTATATGGATCATAATTACATGGCTTGGGAACGCCCCACATCCATGCTTTCATGCTGTGCAACAATTCCCGATGCTGAAGTACAAAACAAGCTCACCAGCAGGCAGCCGGAGGTTTGGGGTCGTGAGCCCCCCCCCCCTCGAGCAGCGCTTAAAAAGCAGCAAGACCGAGAAGCCCCAAAGCGCACTGAAGGTATATTCTAGACCCCATGCCCTCAGCCAAAGAACTTGAAAGCCTAAGCTAGCAAATTTGGAAGACGCAGGAACCCACGGTGCATCCCAGACAGTTAACTCTGATTTCTACTGAATTCCTGAAAGTTGAGCCGGAAATTCTGAGCCCAAAGGCTCAGCGCAAAATCCTGATTCTGAACCCAAACCGTGAATGATGATGCACGTCCCTAACCCTTGCTCAAGGGACAGGAACTAAGTGGTATGAAATTAAGAAGACCATAAGCCTGGCGGACATGGGCTCACTAGTTGGGGGCCTTGCTTAAGCTGCGACCCCTTGACCCTAAACCTTCTACATCCCCAAACTGCTCTCCAACCCCCAAAAATCCGAACCCTCAACCCTAAACCCTATATAAAATCCCATTCTAGTCGTTTCCATTTTCTTTTCCATTCATCCCAACACCCAAAGTCCCAAACAAGGTGCCAGGACTGCACCAGGCCATCCCTCACCGCGACAACGGAGAGGCGGCTGTCATCCTCCCCTGCGTTGCACTTCAGAATCAGATGCGAAAAGAACAAGTATGATAAGGTAGGGGGTGGGGGGAGGGGCAGGATGGTTTAGGAGGTTTAGGTTTCGTTGCATTTGGTGTAGGGTCTCATGGGAGCCAAGACCACTCTCCCTTCAGACCTATCCCAGGAGCCCTCAGAACCGAGGAAGCGCTAAGGAGGACGTGCCTCTCCTTTCCTTTCTGCATCCCCATTGCCAAGGGTCTTGTGGGAGGGGAACTCCTGTGAACTAAGCAGGATTCAACATTTAGATGTGGGGCCCATACAGTGGCGTTCTGTGAAGATAGTGGATGATGGGCTACGAGAACCGAGAAGATGAACCGCCTTCCCTCGTGCGCATTCTTAAGCCCTACCCCTCACACCTAAGAACCCAGAACTCCCCTGAACCCTAGCCCTAGACCCTATAGTCCCCCTTAAAGTAGATAGAATATTGGGTATATGGGGATCTCAATATAAAAAAAACCCAAGGCCCAAAGCCATAATCTATCTACTTAAGGGGGACTAGAAACCCTAAATCCCAAAACTCTCCCAAACCCTAAACCCTAAACCCTAAACCCCTAAACACTATATAGTAGTTTCCATTTTCTCTCCATTATTACTATATAACCTCTATATGACCCCTATAAATATCCCTTAACCCCATAGTAGTTGGTCAACGGGTCATTGAACGCCGTGGTGTTTTATAGCATTTTTTAGTTTTTAGTGTTTATTTCAAGATCTTAGGGTTTACTTGGGCGTTCTATGGCTCGTGCTGTGGTTTAAACAATATATACGTATTTGGACTTCGTCCATGGCCAACCATACCGTGCCCATAACAACGTTCGTGTTCCGAGAGCATACGATGACCAGAGCATCCATGCCCAAACCATAATAACGTTCGTGTTCGAAGAGCATACGATGACCAGAGCATCCATGCCCAAACCATGATAACGTTCGTGCTC